CTCTAACTGGTAATCCTCCTGTAAATACATTCTCATCCTGTAGAAAAATCTAATATTAACCAGAAGGTTTGGTGAATCCATGAACCCAGAAAAAGTGGAGTTAATGTTACGATTCTTTTGTTATTGTTATTACATTTTAATTAATTCAAGGTACATTATACACACACAAGGAAAAAGTGCAAAGCATACAAAAATGTTAACATGAAAAGTCAATCTTTCTTTCATCTCTTGTCCCTGTCCCAGAGCCAATGTTCTTTTGGAAGGTCTTAGAGACCACTGTCTCTGTATTAGTTTCTTGTTGCTGCTATAACAAATGATCACAAACTTAGTGACTTAACACACAGATTTATTATCTCATAGTTGTGAAGGGTAGAAGTTCTCAAATCAAGGTGTCGGTAGGGCTACATTCCTACCGGATTTATTAGGGGATAATTTGATTCTTTGCTTTTTCTAGCTTCTAGAGGCATTCCTTGGCTTGTGACCCCTTCCTTCATTCAAAGTCAGCAGCATAGCATCTTCAAATATCTCTCCCTGTGAACTCTTCTTCCTTTATCACATATCCTTTGACTTTAACCTTCTTGCTGCCTCCTCCTAAGGACCTTTGTAATTACATTAGGCCCACCAGATAACCCAGGATAATCTTCCCATTGTAAGATCCTTCACTTAATGACATTGCAGAATCTCTTTTGCCCTGTAAGAGAACATATTCACAGTTTCTGAAGATTAGGACATGGACATATTTGAGTGTCATTATTCTGCTGACTGCAGCCTCCAAACTACATTTGAGAGGCAAATGACTCCTTCCTTTTCTCTAGACCAGAATAATAATGTGTTCTGATGAAAAATAATGTATTCTTGTTATTAACATGCTTATTTTTGTTTGTTTGCCAATTTGTTCTGTACATTATGAAATATATCCTTCTGGACAATGTTTAATAGATGAGGTATAAATAAATGGAAATAGAAGATGTCATTTTCCCCAAAGGCAGTGGATTGCTTATGACACTCATGGTGGGTACCAAGCCCTCTTTAGAAACCACTGTCCTGGACTATCCTTTTTCTAGATTCACTGCCAATCACTGTCCTGAACATTCCTTTCTTCTGTCAGTAGGATGTGCTATTTATAGGGTACAAGGCACTTGAGCTCCAGTATAATGAGGTTGTTAACAGCATAGGTATTTATGTCAGTCAGACAGGTTCAAATCCCAGCTCCACCACTACCACCTGTTCAACCTCCATCACATTGCTCAACCCCATAGGCCTCAGTTTTTTCACTGGTAATATGCATAATGTCTACCTCATAGGGTTGCTTTTGAGGATTAAATGTTCAACGTGAGGCTGGGTTCACGCCTGCTATATCCTAGTACTTTGGAGGCCAAGGTGGGTGGATCACTTGAGGCCAGGAGTTTGAGACTGGTCTGGCCAATATAGCAAGACCCCGTCTCTACTAAAAATGCAAAAAATTGGTGATTCACACTTGTAATGCCAGCTACTTGGGAGGCTGAGGCATGAGAATATTTAAATATACATAATTCTGTATTTCTGCATGAGAGAATCCAGGAGGTGGAGGTTGCAGCAAACCAAGATCACACCACTGCACTCCAGCCTGGGCGACAGAGTGAGACTCTGTCTCAAAAATAAATAAATAATGTTCAATGGTATTTTAATAATGATACTAGATTTATACTCTTTGAAGTTTAATATTAGGATCTTTCATTGAATTTAGTCTTACCTGTGTTCAGCACCCATTTTCTGACTTATTTTTAGGTTGATTACCCCCAATTAAGGCCACTGTCATTGTCTGTTTGTTGATTCCTTTGAATGTCATTCCCGGGGCTTCCGTAAGACAAAATACCGCAAACTTAAAACAGCAGAACTTCTATTCACTCTCGGTTCTGGAGGGCAGAAGTCTGAAATAAGGGGCTAGCAGGGCCATGCTTTCCTTGGAGGCTCTAGACGAGAACCCTTCCTTGCCTCTTCCTAGCTTCTGAAACTCCAGGGATTCCTTGGCTTATGACAGCATCTTCCAGTTTCTCCCGTCTTCACATGACCTTCTCTGTGTGTCTCTCTGTGACTCTGTGACCCCTTCTCTTAAGGACGCCCATCATAGATTTAGGGCCTCCCCTAAATGTAGAATGATTTCATCTCAAGAGCTTAACTCATTACATCTGCAGAGATACTATTTCTAAACAATGTCACAGCCTGAGTTTCTGGGTGGATGTGAAGTGGTGGGGAGAGGGGTCGTGATACTATGCTACTCATTAGACTTCCCTCTTGCAGAATCGCTTTACCAGCAAGTTTTGGGAGGCTCCTGCCTTCGTCTCAATGTACCTATGTCAGAGCTCAGGGCCTTGAGAGTCTGAGGGCTGGAGGACCACAGACAACCTGGAAATCAGTAGTTTTGCCTTGCGTAACCCCCATCCCCTCGCCACTGGCATGGCTACTTTTCGCAAGGAAGAAAAATCACCATCAACTTATGCTCAGTGTTGCCATTCTGTGTACAGCCCTGTAGCCCTTGGAGTGCTTCCCATTTGGGCTTTCAGCATCTTCATAAGAAGAAGAAGGAGGAAAAAAATGCTGTTTGGTATTACACAGCAGTGTCTGTGTTTGCAAAATGTCTCTCCCATTAGACAATTCCAATTTAAAATACAGATTAGCTCTGACAAAACTGACCCAGGCCAGCTTTTCCCTTTGATGGTTTCAATTTCAGGCGTATTCATCACAAATCGTTGTAATACAACAGGATTTTGACAGAACAGAGGTAGGAGTTTTAAATTCTTACCTGCAATTTTCAGCTTTAGGGGGTAACTTCTGAGAGAAAAACAACAATAACTTAGTTCTAGAATATGAAAACATGCTGAATTTCCTCTTGGAATTTAATGTTCCTAGGCATTTAACAAGCCTCTTTCCTGATGAACAAATTAAGCTCTCTGATACCAAATTATGAACCTTACAAAATCAACCACATTTATCCTTTTGCCTTAAGTACAAAGGAAGCTTGGGGGAAAACACTGATCAATTTCATTAATTATTAGCTTAGGTGTTTATTATATCCAGGCCTTCTCCCTGTGTGTTTTATTTAAGTTCTGTTTCTATTTTAAGATTTTATTGTACATATGACTTTACATTCCTCCTGGATGTTTACTTCCTTGACCCGGCTTCTGACACTTCTCTTACTTTCTGCTCTTTTCTGACCATTTCTTCTCTTCGGTTTTTCTCCCATCTCCTCTGCCTGCTTTTGAATGCCAGTGTTTTCCAGGATCTCTGCTCTTCTGTCTGAACATGCAGCCCTTGGAGTTCTTATATACTCTGAGGAGGTCAGCTGCTCCCTGGATACTGACTCCCAAAACAGTACTTTCAACTGCAACCTTTTCCTGCATTTGATTGAGATTCAAATGCATCAACCTGCTTGTCAGGCAAATTGTGCTTCCGTGTACCCCACAGTCACTCAGTGACTGTAAATATGAACTCAACACCTTTCTCCCAGACTTGCCCTTCTCCACTCCTTCCCCTGTCACCAGTCTTAGTGGGCAGCTCAGGCAATGGCCAGGTGTTTCAAGCAGGAACTGGTGAGGTATCAAAGACGTTTTTCTCTTTCTCATTCCCACATTCAACATCCGTATCCTGTTGTTCTCCCTTCTAAGCATTTCTGAAATCTCTCTCTCTTCAGTTTTCCTAGCTCTGAATTTCAGATGTGTAATTAGATGGTAATTCTCATCTTGGCTGTTCCGTTATCCTCCTAACTGGACCATATCATGCTTAAACATTTCTGTGGTTTTCCATTGCCTACAGAATCCAATGGAGACTTGCCACCAGGAAACAAGGGCCCTCCCTGATTGGTTCTTGCTCACCTCAGTCTCATCTCCTGCAGTGCCCACCCGTCATTTCACATCTTCACGGCTGCTTGCCATCTGACATGGAGACCATGCTCTTTCTTGCTTCCAGAACTTTGCTGACATTATTCTCTCCACCTGAGACACTGTTGCCACCATTCTTTGCCTGGTTAATTCTTACACAACCTTAACTCAGCTCAAGTGTTATTCAACAAGCATTGATTGAGTACCAAGTATATGCAGGCAATGTTGGAGCCCCAGTGGTGAACAGGCAGACAGGGACTCTGTCCTCATGAAACTTTATTCTAATGAAACTTTCAATGAACTACAATGTTGAGCTGAATGCTTCTCCCTCGACCTGTTCTTCCAGCAGCCTGTGTGTGCTCCATCACTATCGTTGGCCTGTTAGGCTGAAATCATCTTTCCGTTTCTCTTCTCTAATGGACTGTAAATTTCTTGAGGGTAGGGGCCATGCCACAGTCTCACAGTATTCTTAGTGTCCAGAACGGTGCTTAGCACTTGGTACATTCTTAATATGGTTCCCCTGTAACTCAACTGTAGATTATGCATACTTGATTCCACTGCTCAGCATAAGCTCCCATTCTCAAAGAAAGTTTTCCTTGACCCTCCAGAACAAGTCTGCCATCCTCCTGATATGTCCCTATACTGTCATATGCTGTTTTTTTCCCCTAGAATTTTGTACTCATAACTAATTATGTTTTCTACTATTTACATTTGGTTTTCTGCACTAAGTTGTAAATTCTACGAAGTCCAAGGTGGAGCTATTGCACTGCGTAGCCTGTAATAGGTGCTCAATAAATATTTGCTAACTAGAAAAGTGATGAATTTTCATGCTGGATAAAAATCCTGAATGAATTGCTGAGGCCTACAGAAAAATTAGAGCCAACTGCCTGCTGGCCCAACGCCCGACTCTACCCATCTGTAAAATGGAGATGTTTCTGGGGGATAATATTGGATAGCAGATAAACTTTACATTAAAACCATACCAAACCAAATATGCATAAATAGATTATACAAAAAAGACAGGATTAAATAATTAAACACATCAGCTGCAGTTCCAGATGGGCTCTTAATTACCTATTTCAGGATGTGATGTTTTATTCCCCCACCACACATATAACCATTTTCTTCTCTATTCTTTCCCAGCATCTGAGAGAGCAGTTCCTGAGCAAAACAAAACAACACAAACAGGACAGGTAAAACATCTGTGAGGTGTTTGATATATATCACTTAAATTATACAAATCCACAGTAGTGGTTGGGCATGGTGGCTCATGCCTGTGATCCCAGCACTTTGGAAAGCCTGGGCGGGTGGATCACTTGAGGCCAGAAGTTTGAGATCACTCTGGCCAATACGGTAAAACCCCATCTCTATTAAAAATGCAAAAATTAGCTGGGTGTGGTGGCACATGTCTGTAGTCCCAGTTACTCAGAAGGATGAGGCATAAGAAGCGCTTAGACCCAGGAGGCAGAGGTTGCAGTGAGCCAAGATTGCGCCATTGCACTCCAGCCTGGGTGACAGAGCGAGACTCTGTCTCAAGAAAAAAACCCAATCAACTGTAGAAGTTTGCAGAGATGAACTAGGAAAAGCAGGATATTGCTAAGTGGCAAAATTAATTGCAATGATTATGAAATAGCCCAAGAATTTGTAGACTTTTACTCTTGGCAGAAATAACCTTGATTGTACTTCTGTGTGTGCTGATGCTTTGAAAAGCAAAAAGAAGGAAACATAAAAAACATGCAAGAGCATTGTGTGTTCATTCTGCATGGCCCAGGATTCATGACATACTGCAGAATCAACACCTGATATCAATATTCCTCTTATTTTCTGAGGGTACTTTTTTTTTTTTTAATTACAAAAGTGATTCAAGCCACTTTAAGTGAAAGCTTCAGGCAGTACAGATGTCAATAAAGGATACGTGAAGGTCCCCCATCCCCTCTTTCTTCTTCCCCATCTCTCTCTCAGACACTGTCTCTTGTCCTGCCCTGGTTGCTGTGCCCACTGTGTGTTGGCGAATGAAACAAAGAGAGAGGGGGAAAGCATAGCCTGGTCAATGGAGATGGCATAGTCCCAGCAGGATGCCTCGATGCCTGTCTGCAGAGCAGCACCTCTCAATTTTTTTGGTGTCAGGGTCCCTTTATATTCCGTTATTTTTATTTATTTATTTTTTTTTGAGACGGAGTTTCGCTCTTGTTGCCCACGCTGGAGTGCAATGGCGCAATCTTGGCTCACCGCAACCTCTGCCTCCTGGGTTCAGGCAATTCTCCTGCCTCAGCCTCCTGAGTAGCTGGGATTACAGGCATGTGCCACGATGCCCAGCTAATTTTTTGTATTTTTAGTAGAGACGGGGTTTCACCTTGTTGACCAAGGATGGTCTCGATCTCTTGACCTCGTGATCCACCTGCCTCAGCCTCCCAAAGTGCTGGGATTGCAGGCTTGAGCCACCGTGCCTGGCTCCATTATTTTTTTTAAGACATAGTCTCACTCTTTTGCCCAGGCTGGAGTGCAGTGGCACAACCTTGACTCACTGCAACCTTCACCTTCCGGGTTTAAGAGATTCTCCTGCCTTGGTTGCAGTGAGCTGATATCGCGCTACTGCACTCCAGCCTGGCAACAGAGCTAAACTCCATCTCAAAAGAATAAAAGAGATTCTCCTGCTTCAGCCTCCCAAGTAGCTGGGATTATAGGTGTGCACCACCATGCCCAGCTAATTTTTTTGTATTTTTAATACAGACGGAGTTTCATCATGTTGGCCAAGCTGGTCTTGAGCTCCTAACCTCAAATGATCCACCCATCTTGGCCTCCCAAAGTGCTGGAATTATAGACATGAGCAACTGCGCCTGCCCTATATGCTTTTTGTTTTTAACTTGGATTTTACTTGTGTATGTAAATAGTGACATGAGTACAGGGAGTTCTAAGGCTTGTGGCTTATATCTAAGTGAAAGGGTTTCAGGTTCATTTGCTTGTAGGATGGCATTGCCCAAGATAACAGAGCCTAGTATCATTTTTCCTGGAGAAGAAAGTCAGTTTAATACATTCAATACTAACTTCTCTGCCATTTTTTTGTAAAAATACTGATTGACCATATGAAGTTTCTATTGCTTACCTGTAACTGATTAAAATGTGCAGAGAATGGAATTTTCTACTTGTTTTCAGATGAATTCCCCACATTTCCTGGCTTTCGAAAGTTCTCCTTCCAAAAATCTTCCATGACTATATATCCTTGTAAACCCGGGTCATATAATCTCTCCTTTCTGAACTGCACAAATTCAGCGGGTTGTTGTCGATAATGAATAGAAGCTGCTAATCTCATGAAGCCAGGTGGAAGTATCTGCTGCTTTATTTTTGAACCCAGGCCTGGGAACATTGTGAGATACATCTCATTTTTAAAATTTAAAAAATGTGTCAACTTTTCCTTTAGGTTCAGGTAGATGTGCAAGTTTGTTAGACATGTGTCTGTATTTTTAAAAAATTTAAAAATCAATTCATTTAAAAATAACAACAAGCCCACTTTGTGCTAACGTCACATGTTTAACAGCAACTAACTCTATTTTGAAAAGAATATTACTGAGAAAAACGAGTGAAATAATTAGTGAGAAAAATGGCATTGTTTTACATTTCTTGCAAATCTCATTCATGTCTGGCTGAATAAGAGACAGAGGGATTCTCATCTCTGCTTTCCACAGTCTGTATCAGTGAGAGCAATGACATCACACATCACATAGCCTCTGGGAAAGTCTACTGTATATCTCAAGAGAGAATGACAGGAAAATGGCAAAAATGTCCAACGAAAATCATTTTGCTCTCATGAGCTCCACATCTAGACTCTGAGAACCACTGCTGTAAAAAATGGGAAATTAAGTTTCATTTTCTCTTTAATCCTGTTTCCTCTCGAAGCCTAAGTCAGCCATGAAAAGAGCAGCACAGGGCTAGGGAGAGCTCAAAGGATTTGAGCAGTAGCCATGAAAGGGATTTGACCATGGAAAACACAGCTCACAACAGTTATTTTTTATCCTCAGACTCCTGAGGCCCACAGCCCCTGATGCCTGATGTCTAACACTAAGCAAAATTTTGGGATATGGGTAACGTGTTTTAGATTTTCAGAGATTTTTGGCAAAAGATGGTGAAATGTGGTGAAACTGCTGGTGGTTGTAAGGTACCCTTGGGTGGGGATATCATCCCGTGAGGGTGATGTCTAGCAGTGACTGGGCTCCTCTCCTTACCTGTGTTCCGTCAGATGGATGGAATGCCCACACTCACGAAGAATGAGATACTCACCTCCCAACTACTGATGATCATCGTCCCCTCCTTGGGATTTTTGCTGTTGGCATTGCTCGTGGCATTTATTTTCAGAGGTAAGGAGGGAGGGCCAGGTGATGGAGCACTTCAGAACCCTGATGACTGCAGGAGGATCTGGAGTTGAATCCACTTCCTTCTCCTTTCTCTCTCCGCAAAGAGGCTCAGATTTGTCACTGTCTCCATCCCAGCCAAGGAAGTAACAAGTAAGCTCATTCTCCATAAGCGGCTAATGCCTCTGTGTATTAACCTCCTGGTAGAGTTGACATTTTGGAAAAGAAAAAAAAAAAGCAGAATAAGAGCACTTTCATTTATTGGACATTTCTGTGCCAGTCCTGATGGTATACTCTTGACATGCCTAATTAATTTTATCCCTATTACTGCCTTAAGATTATCACTGTCTTTGTTCTATGGTTGAGTAAATCTTAGCTTGTCTCTTCTTTTGGCTATGATTATTGCAGGAAGAAGACCATAAACGATTCCTGTTTTATTTTTTATTTTTTTATTTTTTTGAGATGAAGTCTCACTCTGTTGTTCAGTCTGGAGTGCAGTGGCACAATCTCAGCTTACTGCAACCTCCGCCTCCTGGGTTCAAGTGATTCTTCTGCCTAAGCCTCCCGAGTAGCTGAGACTACAGGTGCTCACCACCACACCCAGCTAATTTTTGTATTTTAAGTAGAGACGAAGTTTCCCCATGCGGGCGAGGCTGGTCTGGAACTCCTGACGTCAGGTGATCCACCCACTTTGGCCTCCCAAAATGCTGGGATTACAGGCATGAGCCACCATGCCTGGTCTGATCCTGGTTTTCTTATGTGTTCCCTGAAAGCGAGTCACAGGTGGCTTCAAGGGTAATGTGATTCCTTTCAAATCGTGCAAAAGTACTTATATGTTCATGCCTACATTTTTCAGGGGACAAAGTCTATAGTTTTCATTAAATTCTCAAGCTGCTTCATGACCTTGCACCTCCATCCCACCCCACCCCTGCCCCTAAAAGTTTTAAAACACTGCAAAAACGAGCCATGAAACAGAGCTTATGGTTTTCATGCAAATTATAGGCACATGGCACCTGGTACTATTGTAAAATTGAGATAAATTGGTCTGTACTCATTAACAAAAGCTGTTTCAGGGAAGTACGTCAGAAGATGAGACTCGTAACCATCAGCAGCGGATTGGAACAATAGTGAAACTTGTATATTTCAACACCTGCCCCAGGTGCAAAAGGAAATTTAAAATTTATTGGAATCCTGCTGTTAGCCTTCATACAAAGGCATGGTTACAGTTTTAAATTCTGAGTGTGTCTCATAAAGAAATGTTTACAAACCCAAGTGAGTATTTGAATTCTGGATAGGCAGATGACTCAAAATGAAATAGCTTAACTCCATTGCCCACATGTTGGAACGAATTTGTAATTGATGAGCACGGTACTGTGGTCTAAAATAGCAAGCATTTGACCTGGGAAAGGGAATGGCTTTTTCTGCTAAAGCCAGCCACTGGTTCTCACCTTTGGCCCTTGTCTGCTTTTTGGGAGGCAGCACTGGAAATCTCCCAGCATCTTGCATGTTCTATCCACCACAGCCACTCTGCTCACACTGTGGCCTTGTCTTTTCAGAGAAACTCATGGAAATCAATTGTTTGCAGAGGCACACAAGGTAATTTATCTTGCATGAATGGTTGTTGTAATGATTGTACAAGCTGTTACAAATGATTAGCTACTACTCAGTGGTTTAATGACTTGAGCTTGTGTTCTGATTAAACATAGAGTTGGAAAGATGTGACATTAGAAGTGAAAAAGTTGTGCAGATTTAGCTCACATTAACCCATGTCTTGGTTAACACTGTGTCTGAGCAAAATGCCAATACAAAGGCAGGTGGCATTAATAGAAGCATAGCATGCAAAGGAAAGAAGGTGATACAGCACTCTATTCTGTTTGAAATTTTTTGTTTACCCACGGGTAAATTAGTTTAAGAGGACATTGTTAAACTGAGTTTATTGAGGAGAGTTGGCAATATGGAAAATGAAAAAAGCATGTAGAATATTATTCCTGGGAGTTGGTTCCTCTGCCCAATTAGATCATGGGAACAGCTTTTTACTTTAGGGCCTTTTTAAAAAGAGTGTTTGAAGATTCTCTAGTAGGGGATTTTAGCCATCTGCCCTATTCTATAGCTTTTGGAAAAGAAATGAAAAGACTTGGTGTAAATTATCAATGAGGGCCTTGCCTTCACTAATTAATTGCATTGATAGTGTGATATGTATTAACAAGTAGGGAAACTGACACCCAGCAAAGTGACCTTTCAAGGTCATACTTAGAGACCTTTTGGTAAATAAATGTATTAAATCATGACTTTAGATTTTGCTAAGAAATTTTTTTTATCTCCTTTATTGTAATGGATTGGCAGAAACTTGTTTTCCCCTGCAGCCCCAATTTTCCAATCTGTAAAACGACGTAGAGCTTAAACCGAATGAACGGTGAGCCCTTTGAACTTTAAGGGTAATTGGATTGTAACTTAGCAGCAGCTGTCTTTTGTTTTGTTTTCCAGTCTTGTGTTTCCCATTGTCAGCCTCTCTCATCTGTTTACAGGCTAGGCAGCACTGGAGATAGTAAAAATGTCCTCAATGACACGCGGCATGGAAGTGAAGACGAAGACGGCCTTTTCACCCTCTAACATGCTACTTTTCGTTAGGCTTGAGAATGGGGGCATGACAATTGAAGTGTCAAAATAAATCTTAGTAGGTTTATTTTTTTGTTTGTTTGTTTCATAAAAAAGACTCACTTATCCCGTGGATGTCATTGATACAGTCTTGCTTTCGTTTTTCACAAATCAAAGGTACTTTAGAGACCGCACCTTCTCTGTCCATGCTTTAATCATCTCTGTAGAAGTGATCTTTTATACTATACTAGAACACTTTCAGTGATGGTGAACTCCTTACCTCACCCAACAGTCTGAGGGACAGTGAACTGGCCCCCTGTGTAAAAAGTTTGGGGATGCCTGCTATACTAGAACACTTTCAGTGATGGTGAACTCCTTACCTCACCCAAGGGAGTCCATTCAATCTCAGAGCAGTTCTGAGATTCAGAAATATTTAAAGCAAAATCTATCTCCTGATGACCTCTGCCTATGGATTCAAGTTAAATTCATTGTGTCTATACAGAACACGTCTTTATCAAGGGCTAGTGTTGTGTGAACTAACAGGACAAAAATTCTGTAGCCTCCATCAGTCAAGTAATAAGGCTGATTTTTTTTTCTCTCTTAAAGGTAATGTCAAGAGAGTAGAAATCTAAAAGATGGTTACCTTTGGAGAACCATGCACTTATTTCATTAATGTTGCTATTGCCCTAAGCATGCTGGGAAGTACTGGAGCAGTTAACTCTTCAGGTATTGGAAGGAGAACCTCTATTTCTCCAAGTTTCCTTGCTTCTGGGATGCAATTTCTGGTCCTTTTGTTACCCTAATTACCTTCGTCTTGTATGTGTTTGTATCTCTTCTTTTATGCCCAGCTTTCAGAGTTCAGTGTCTCACTGCAGGTATGATAGGAGCAGCACAGAGCCTACGCTTCATTAACAAGGCAGGAAGTGACAAGGAATCACACTGTAACTTTGACTCACTTCTTTTTTTTCTTGAGATGGAGTCTCGCTCTGTGGCCCAGGCTAGAGTGCAATGGTGGAATCTCGGCTCACTGCAACCTCCGCCTTCAAGCAATTCTTTTGCCTTAGCCTACCGAGTGAATAGCTAGGGTTATAGGTGCCCACCACCATGCCCAACTAATTTTTGTATTTTTAGTAGAGATGGGGTTTCACCGTATTGGCCAGGCGGGCCTCAAACTCCTGACCTCAGGTAACCAGCCCGCCTCAGCCTTCTAAGGAGCTGGGATTACGGGTTTGAGCCACTGTGCCCAGCCAATGTTGATTCACTTCTAAAATTCCTAAATTTTCTATTATTTTCTTTTCACATTTGAGTGTCTTTAGAGTTGACCATAGTGTCACATCTTCATTCTTGCATGGGGGATTTAATTTTGAAACAGAAAAGAGTCCATGGGAGTAAAATGTGATGAATGACAACAATATTCCACCACGGGCAGTGCTTAGATGCGAAAGCAAGGCAATACAAATAAGTCTCTAAATATAATTCATGGAAATGTGCTCCTCGGTAACAACAGGTTTAGTTTAAAACTTAAGTAACTACTAACATGAGGAACCCTGGGAGACAGATTAAAACAAACAGGTGTTGAATATGAATAAAAAACGTGTGCCTGAGTGAGAGGGGCTTCTGGCTGGGTAGAAATGTGGGAAGTAAGCCATATCTGAAAGACATTTCTGTGAAGACCTTCCCAGCATGTTTATAGCAACATTAATGGAATAAGTACCTGGTTCTCCAAAGGTATCCGTCTTTTGGATTTCAGCTTTCTTGACATTAAGAGAGAAAAAAAATCAGTCTAATGACTTGACTGGTGAAGCCTATAGATTTTTTGTCCTGCTGATTCACACAACACTGATCCAGCAATTAGTAAAAATGCCCCTCACCTGGGCACTTGGAATAAACTGGCCCAGGGCAGCCTGACATCTGACTTGTTCAGTTGCTGTTGGGCAGAATGATTGGCCCCAATGATAAAAACAGTGAGCAGAAGATTGGCAGTTGTTTTTCTTTTTTCTTTCTTTTTTTTTTTTTTTTTTGAGACGGAGTTTCATTCTTGCTGCCCAGGCTGGAGTGCAATGGTGCAATCTCAGTTCACTGCAACCTCTGCCCCCAGGGTTCAAGTGATTCTCCTGCTTCAGACTCCGAAGTAGTTGGGATTGCAGGTGCCTGCCACCATGCCCATCCAATTTTTTGTATTTTTAGTAAAAACAGGATTTCACCATGTTGGCCAGGCTGGTCTCAAACTCCTGACCTTAGATGATCCACCCACCTAAGCCTCCCAAAGTACTGGGATTACAGGTGTGAGGCACTACGCCTGACCTTTTTTTTTTTTTTTTTTCCCCTTAGGTCAACTTGGCTTTTGTTAGCTTAAGATACTTGAAATGACTTGGTCTAGTATGCTAAACTCAAACATTTATTTAGAAATGTGGGGGAAAGTGGGTCTAGAGTCAGGATCACGGCCTGAATTTTCCCATCTGGAAAACAGAGTGGAGCTAGATGGCTTTGTGTATGTAGTCAAGTTAATGATACACCTCACCCTAATTTCTCATACTCCCTATCCATCTTCCAAAACCACTGCCATTATCAATGTCATTACCAACTTGGGTCTGACTAGAAAAAGAAGACTGCAGATACCTCCTAAACAGAACATTTAAACTCAGTGAATATTTTTCTGTTTTGCAAAGGGCTATCTTCAATCAATTCCCAAATATATTTCTGAAATTCCTTGTTCAGACTAAGAAACACTGACACGAGCAATCATACTATTTTAGAACTGGTAGTGGCCTCCAGGAGCCTCTGTCCTAGTAGTTCTCAATGTAAGCTGAACAATCAACTGGAGAGCTTTTAAATGCCAATTCCTGAGTCCTACCCTTTCTGCAGTTAGTCTGGGATATGACTTGGGCATCTGAATTTTTGAAAAATGTCTCAAACTGGTTCCAATGTAGAACCAAGGACTACAAAAAAATTCTGGTCTAGTCTGGTGGCTCTCAAACTATGCACTTCTGACCATCAGACTTAGCATCACTGGTACTTTATAGAAATGCACATTCAGGTCCTTCACCCCGTATCTCCAGAATCAGAAACTCTGGGGTAGAGCCCAGCAGACTGTGTTTTAACAAACCTCCAGATGTTTCCGATACGTGTTAAGAGTTTGAGAAATGTTGCAGCGTAGTAATTCCTAACAGATGGATTGAGAGTTCAAGAAAAGAATCTCCCTTTTACCAGGGCTGTGTGGTGGTGGGCTTGGCCAGACCGAGGGTCAGGAGCTTCCAGTACCAGCGGCAAAGGTCCTGCAGCTTCACCTCCTTTAAGCTGATATCGCTTTTTGCGTGGATTCTTGCAGTACCTTCCTAACTATAATCTCTGACTTGACTCCTTTCCCTCTCTGATCTGTTCTCCATGCTGTGGCAGAGATACCCTCTTTCAATACAGGTCTGGGATTTTTATCTCCTGACTTCTAGCTCTTTTCATCCTTGGCCCCTAGACCTACCTAGAAGCAGCACATTTAGCTCTGCCTGGGGCAGAGGTGGCAAACTCCAGTGACTTCAGAGGCCAGGCAGCTGATATAGTTGGGGGAGTCAACAGGAGATGACGTGGCCCATGATAAATTGAAGTGTGTGTATGTCCACTGAAGGGCATTAAAATTTAAAATTAGTTAAAATAATTTCCTGGGCAAGCAAAGCATGGCTATGGAATAAAACAAGGTAGCCAGTTTGAGACTGGGAGTAGGGGGTAGGTTTTAGTAAAAGATGAGTTAAAATATATAATTTTTTTTTTTTTTGAGACAGAGTTTCACTCTTATTACCCAGGCTGGAGTGCAATGGCTCGATCTCGGCTCACCGCAACCTCCGCCTCCTGGGTTCAGGCAATTCTCCTGCCTCAGCCTCCTGAGTAGCTGGGATTACAGGCACGTGCCACCATATCCAGCTAGTTTTTTTGTATTTTTTTTTTTTTTTTAGTAGAGACGGGGTTTCACCATGTTGACTAGGATGGTCATGATCTCTTGACCTCGTGATCCACCCGCCTCGGCCTCCCAAAGTGCTGGGATTACAGGCGTGAGCCACCGCGCCCGGCCAAAATACATATTTCTTTTACCAAGACTCCTTGATCAGAGAAGGCTGTGGATACGGTTGTTCCTCTCATTCCCTCTTTGTGTCATCAGGATGAATTGTTAGCATCTATAAATAACTCTTTGTCATCCATTGTATGTAGGGCCCAGGAGAGAGAATTGCTTTTTTTAAGGAGCTTCGAATCTGAATGAGACAAACACACATGGGAAATGCAATAGAATAGGCCGGGTGAGGTGGCTCTCAACTGTAATCCCAGCACTTCCAGAGGCTGAGGCGACGCATCACTTGAGGCCAGGAGTTCAAGACCATCCTGGCCAACATGGCGAAACCCTGTCTCTACTAAAAATACAAAAATTAGCTGAGCCTGGCAGTGGGCGCCTGTAATTCCAGCTACTCAAGAGCCTGAGGCAGGAGAATCGCTTGAACCTGGGAGGAGGAGGTTGCCGGGAGCTGAGATCGAGCCACTGCCCTCCAGCCTGGGAAATGGATTAAGACTTTGTCTCAAAAAAAAAGTAATGCAATAGAATGGCATCAATGTTGTTTTTCCATTTCCATAAGGAAGGAACTTGATTCAGTATGTGGCTGTTACAGCTAATGATTATATGGTGGATCCCCAATCAAACCTCACAATTTAAATCAGGGGGCTTCCAATCTTTTGACTTCCCTGAACCACATTGGAAGAAGAATTGTCTTGGGTCACACATAAAATACACTAACACTAATGATAGCTAATGAGCTAAAAATAAAAAATTGCAAAAAAAATCTCATAATGTTTTAAGAAAGTTTACCAATTCGTGTTGGGCTGCATTCAAAGCCATCCTGGGCCATATGCAAGCTCGATTTAAAGCAACCTAATTCTTCAGCTTTCACCATGGCCTTTCTAGGCCAAATAAAATAGATACTACCAATTTGTACTGAGCACTTACTGTATTCTGGGTACTGAATTAACTGTTTCAAGGCATTTATCTCATTGATTCCTGACAGCAGCTCAACAAAGCAGGTATTTTATTTTGTCTTTGGAGCAAACAAAACAGAAGCAGAGGCAGGTGAAGGAACTTGCTCAAGGTCATATTGACCAACCTCCTGTGGCAGAGCTAGGTTTTCAACCAGGATAAGACTCCACACTCTAACTACTACCT